AAACAAAAATTAAAAGTTTTGTTTTAAAAAATGTGTCCTGAAAGTAATCTACTGATGCTCTAAATATTTAATATTACCCAAACATGGTTTATTATATAACTTATTTAAACCTTAAACAATTAATTTGTTTATTAGTAATGTATTATACTAAGAAATTTTATATAGAGGAACTCTTTAAAAGGGCTAGACTATAGACAAATTATATCTCATGAAATACTATGTTTATTTACAGACGTTTTATGCTGTTGTTAATATTTTTATTAATATCAATATATAAGTTTTTTTTTATCCAACAGAGTACTAAGAACATAACCTAGCTAAAAAAAAATCATAAGCATCACTGGCGTAATCCAGCTTAGGCTAATTCGGTTGGGAAGGATTCGTTTTCGGACAGGGGAAAAACTATTTATGATTTCCCAACACGATTCGTCGTACACCTTTTGCTACTCCTTCGTTTATTTGTTTGTCGTTTGCTGACTACGTGAGATTGTTCGGCGTTTAAAAAAAACCGATGTACCATAAATCCAATGTCCTTCTCACACACAAGCACACAGAAACACACACTCACACATACAAACACGCTCATCAATTAGCTTTGAAGATTTAATTGTGGCACGTGTGAACTTAATTAAACGGCATTAGTTTGTGTAATTGTAGCCACGATACGAACTGTTGCAGGACCCCCTTTCAGGCCATAATTATGGCGCTTTCGGCCCTCGAAAAAAGGGGGTAATTAAAGTGCAACTTTGGCCACTGCATTTGCATTCCAATTAATTTTTGAGCACGCATGCAATATGCATTTTTTTCGGTTAACTTTTGTTGTGCCAGTTGCCAAGGTGAAAATGGAAACTGGGCGAATAAGAGAGTTTCGTTATTATTTTACAGTTCATAGCAAAGTGTTTTAGGGTGTGCAACTTTAGTTGCATTTAATTAGCATTATTGTCATGGCAACAGAAAAACCTCTTTGTGGCCTAAATTAAGTTCGTTTCCGGGTGAGAAAGTTGATTACCCCAAAATCATCCTTTCAACTAAAAACAATTTTAATTATGTCAAGCACCGGAACTCTCGTTAATTGTGCAAGCAAATTAATGAGCTGCAATTTGTGGTTTTGGCTTGGTTCACTTGATCAGGTCAACTTATTTGCTGGACAAATGTTTCCTGTTTTAAAGAAGGAAGGGAAAATGATTTGTATTTTGCAAAATCCCGGCACACTTATCTGTGATTGTAAACTTGCTTGTAAATTTTCTGATACTTCGTCTTAAAGATTTACATGCAGCAAATTAGTAAACAATTTGGAAGCATTTCAATTTAAGCCAAAAATTTGACTAGCTTATCTCGACTTTTAATTAGTAAAACTGCTAATGCTAATACAACATCTCTAGCTATAAATGTTTTTGTTTTCAAAAACAAAACCTGTACAATTACAAAACATAAAACGAACATGCATTTTAAGGTTGGCTACTTTGCACAGCTTATGGCTTATTGAATGAAAAACTGTTTTACATTTCACTGCCAAAACATGACCACTCAGATTGGATGCAATTTTCCCCCATTTAATTTATTTAACCGACATGTTTTCCTGGTTTTGGGTGTTCATGAATGTTTAAAATATGGACCGACTGCTAATCATGCAATTTGTTCTATATCTAATGTAAAGAGCTATGCTTTTGCATCTCGTTAAGCTACGGTCTTTGTGAAAGTCAGGCGAAATAATAATGGAAAAGGCCACAGCAAGCATGGTTAAAATAATAAACATTGAAAATGCCGCTCTAATTTCGGGGCATAATGCTCTAAAATTACCTGAAACGACAAACAAAATTTTGCACGCTAACTAGAGGCTTATTTAATTCTGGATGAAAACCATTTCGTTGTTGTTTTGGCCTCGAAATTTCCGTTGAAATTCTTGTCACTGCACTTAAATAATGTAAATATAATTTCGCTGTTTGAACACATTTTATGCGAGCTCATGTTTCAGCTTGGCCCGGCGAAATTGGGGACATGTTTTTGTTTTCCTTCTATTTGCCATTTCATTTGGCTGCATTCAGGTGACAATGCAACTAATTATAGTCAACAATGTGGCACCCATGTGCCCCTCTTGGTGCCACGTTAAATAAATCAGAAAGTAATTAAAACAACATGAAATGCGACTGTGAGCTACAGTCACAGTCACATCGGCTGCCGTTTGAGTTTCAGTTTCAGTTCAGTTTCTGACTCAGCTTCTGTTTCCGTTTTAGTTCCAACGGAAGCTGCACTTGCCATCCTTGTATTGCGGTGCTACCCGTTTACCAAACAAAATAAAATGGAAACTTCAATTGGAGGTTTTAATGGCGAGTCATTGGATACCCTTTTGCATTGCAGGTCTTGGCCTTTGCTTAATTAAAGGGGAATTGAATGCAACATCTTCCAACCATTTCTTCTATGCTTCTAAAATATAAATGTGTTTTGGTGTCAGTCTAGCATTTACTAAGTAAAATCTCAAAGTATAAAGTTTTTCACTTATTAAATTAAAAATAGAAAATATAAATCAACAAAATTGTAAACATGTATCCCAATATTTTAGTGACATTTTATAAGTTTTCATTAAATTAAAGTACATAATCCAATTGCAAAAGTTAAATTTTGTTAGTGATCAATAAATGAATTACTAAATCAAATATAATATGTGTATAAAAAAAATTTCTAAGAAGGGAATTAAAAGCAAAATCTTCCTTGCTTTTCTTGTATGCTTTTAAAAAGAGTTAAAATCACTTTTTAAATTACAATAACAAAAACACAAAAAAATAAATAAAATAATATGAATTCCAATATTTTAGAAACAGCATAAGATGTTTTCACGAAATTAAAGTACATATTGTAAGTTAAATTTTGTTGTAAGCAATAAATTAATTTGTAAACCAAAAACAATGGGATTAAGATTTCACAACTCCATTACCTTTTTGAAACGCCCTTAATTTTTGCGTAGGTTATTATTAAGAATTGTTTGAATACCATAATTTTTGAATTTATATACATCTTTACTAGTGAACTTTTGAAATTTATTTAATACCCCATAAGTATCAGAAATTTGAAATAGTATTGTCGAAACTCATCTATTATATTGTGGGTAACAAACAATATTTCATCTTGCAGTTTAAAGTGCTTTCCTGTGTTTCTTCCAAGTTGCTGGCACAACTTGAAATGTCTTTTTAAGGGTATAGAAAGCAAAACCAACAGAGACAATCATTGGTCGTAGGAAGCACAGTCACAACAAAACAACTGGAAATAGAAAACACCATGGGATGGGTATTCGTAGTAGCGTTGAGAAAATAGAAAAAATGCAGAAGCAAAATAAACTTAATTTACGCTTATTTGCGTTGACAAATGCTTACGAAGAGGGCAACTTTTAATTGCAAAATTTATTTAATTTGCCCATGCGATGCGATTGTTATGGCCATAGCAGTTAATTGGTTAACCAAGTGAATTAACTTTCTGTACGGGCATCGCATTTAAATTGAAATAAACAAACTTATATTTTTCAGTTATCGGCAGCTCGGCAACTCGGCTATTTAATCCCTTGATAGTCTCAGATCAGTGTCACTTTTATGATAATTAGCGAACGACTTTGCCCGAGGACGGCCATATGTCATGGCCAGCTGTCAATGGCTGAACGATTTATGGCCCAGTTTAATCAGCATCCGGCCATCACAAAATGCGAAATCTATTTGGCCAGCTAGCCATGGCTGGTGGCATAAAGTTTCTGAGCAAGAAATGTACATTAGTTGTAAGAGCTCACACTTTTTGCAGCGTGGGTTTCTTTCTTTTTGCGCCGCAGGCAGAATTTTCATTAAAGCATTTTTGATGTCTAATTTGCATATTTTTGCAGCTGGCCGAGTTGCATGCCGACACTCTGAGGCGGCCAAGTGACACGTTAAGCATTCAAAAGTTGGGTACTGGAAAGTGGGAAATTGGGAAAGTGGGAAAATGGCCCACTGCACTCGAAAGAAAAGTGCTAGCTTTTCTCGGCTGATGGCCGCCTGTCAGTCGTCCTCGTTTTCGTCCTCTGGCTGAGATTTTCGGACAGGACAAAGTGTCGAGTGGCAACACTAATTCGCATGCTGCCCGAACAACAGCAGCAACACGAAACATGCACACACAATACACACCCATTACCCACCCATCACCCACCCATCACACACCCATCCTCTTGGCTGGCTTTTTTTCCCTTGTCGGATTTTCAGCTAAATTTGTGCCAGCGCTTTTTCCGCTTGCTTTTTGTTAATTTCCAATTTTCAAACCATTTCTGGCTGCCTCTGTGTGCACAGCTGCTTTCTGTGTGTGAGTGTGTGGGTTCGGTCAACATTTCGTTTGGCTCATGGCATTAATTCAATTACTGTTTGCAGTTTGCATATTGCCAGAGATCCAAGCTCATGTATGTTCCTTCGTCCCTACAGCTTCGCTTCACAGGATACTGCAGTGGCCCATGCATCCTTGTAAGGAAACTTTAAATTGCGCACCGAATTATGTTGGCTATCCAAAACAGCAAAACGAAAATTACGCAAAATACCCAGAAAAAAATCAAACTTACACAAAAAAATTAAATTTTGAAATTACACTTAAATTGACAAAATTTAAAATCACATTTTTTTTTAAATAATATCATAGTACTTTATTTTTTTCTTAGAATTTTTTTTAAGGTTGAGAGTTTACTTTCAAATATACAGTGACACAACAAAAAAGTTAAGTTAAAAGGAAAATTTATATTTACATTGAAAAAAGGGAATTTCACATTTTCTGTCTCTCATTTTTTTTATTAAAGAATTTTATATATTTCGTTATACAGCCTATAAAAAGTTCTTCAGGATAAGAGTTTACTTTCCATCAAATATTTCTAAGCTGATTTTAATTTATGTGTTATATACGTTTCTCAGTGGAGAATATATGCATTTCCAACGAACATTTTACCAAAATTGTAAGTCTCCTATTTTTATTTTTCTTTTCCTTTACAGACAATTTGTACTTACCAATTCTTTGGAACACATGGTAAGCGTCAGCAAAAGCCTTTTTTACAAATTTTTGGGAATTTTTAAGGGGGGTCGAGCGTGGGCACTCAGGGGGATTTCTCATAGGCAACTGGCAGATTCTTGTTTCATATTCCGTTGCAGCACAAGTAATTTCCATATAAGGCCGACACTGAAACAAATTTATGCTACTTTACACGGACCGTTCGGAGCGATCGCGACGCGTTTCTTTTCGGGCTTGGAGCGAATGAGCCACTAGCCAACAGATGCTTGGCCATTTATAATCTGGCCCAGAAGTGGCAACTGGTGAAGCGCCACGGGCGATGCTATTGTTAGATATGCCACCTGTTATAGGAGTATATACATAGCAGAGCGATTGTCAGTGGTAGCGGAAAAGCCAGCGGAACGCTCTAACTAATTAGTCAACTATCACCTCTTGTAAATACAGGGGTGGTCAAACGAATAGCACTTCTTGCAAAAACAATACTTTCCAGCTAAGGCTTAATAGAAAATAATATATCACAGAAATTGTTGAAAGCAAACAAAGGGACAGTTTTTGAAAAAATAACATTAAAGTTCATCGCCGTTTTTCTTTAAATTAACATTTATAGTCTCGAAACTATATTGTAAAACCATTATTGTTGTTTTTTTTAAAACAACCAGTTAAGTATTTATCTTCAATTTAAATAAAATGTTAAAAAAATACACACGTATCGAAAAATCATACTAATTACCTAAATATAATACTAGATAGCTTAATTATAATTCAAAGTAAAGCCTAAATCCAATATTTCTTGATTTAGTGCTCTATATTTTGACTGCCATTTTTGTGACCCATAGTGTGGCTCCACTGTAAGAAGGATAAAGCTGGACGTCGCCGTCGTCATCAGCGAAATTATATAGTAGTAGAGTGCATACATACCAACATAAAAATGGCAAATAACTGAGCAGTGGCAGTTTGCTTATCAACACACACACACACACATACAGGCTGGCAGAAAGAGACGGGGATAGGACTGAGAGAGAGAGAGAGAGAGAGATAGAACGAGCGGGACAGGAAGACTCACCCACAAACAGTGCATTGGAATATCCCGCCGCGCTGATAACATTTGAATTTTCGGCTTGATTTATGGGCATAACATGAAACTAACTCCCTGACATATCGGAACAAGCTACAACAAACAACCAGTCACTGCCGTAAAAGTACAACAAAAGTACCACCGTGTAGCAATTTCCACGCTGACGCAGTTCAGAACGCATTAAAGCGATTTACTATTGGCATACCCATCGATTTGGCTTTAAGTTTCAAATATTTCAACAACTGATGAACAAACTAGGATTTGTTTTTTGCAGACCAATACACAAATACTGGTTTTGAAGTTTTTAATTAATACAATCAATAAATTCTCATATTTCTTGACTCTCTTTTGTCAAATACATAACCAAAGAGAAATAAATCAAACGAAGTTTTTTATTTTGTCTCTATTTCTGTTTTGAATTCCACCTAACTATATTTGTGGCATTCGGCTTGCTCTTGCCTTTTCTTTGCTCTTCAAAACTTGCACCTATTTAAGCAATGAGTTCTTAAAAAAATTATAATTAAAAATTTAAAAGTAGTTTTCTTCATATATAATATTAAGATATATTTAAAGCGGAATATCAGGTATTTATATATTATAAATTATTTTTAAAAGCATTTAAACATGCCTAAGATATTTATATAGTTCATACTTAATCCTATTAATTATAAACAATTTTTAGAAGCATTTAAACATATTAAAGAAATTTTTCTTTCCACAGATAGAGTTTCCCTCTGTTGGCTTTTCCACATTTTCCATTTCCTTGGGAGCGCTGAGCATTTTTCATAGCTGCTTCACATATTTGCAGAGCGTTTGCTTTCGGGTTAAACGCTTTTATTGCATTCTGCAGATGGCGATGTGACGTTGTCGGTGCCATTATTGGCCCCATTTTCCCTCCGATCTAATAAACTTTACATTTGTTTGGCTTGCTGCTACCCTCATTCAGAGTAAAAGTCTGAGTCTGCTGCTTGATATTGCCCAGTCTGAGAGCACTATTTTTTCCGAGGTCCTCGGAGCTTCCATTTTTTATGCGAAGTCCTCATCTGCTGCTGGCCAGTTTCCTTCCATTGTTGACTCCTTTTTAATGTCCCTCCTTTGGCTTCTTGTGGCTTTTCGACTCTGTCGCTCCTCACTCATTTCGTTTTCGGACATTTACTTAGTCTATAACGCTGCCAGCTGGCTTTTCCCCGCCTATTTCCCATTTCCCATTTTCCTCTGGACTTTGACATCTTAAAGTTTATCAAATAGTGGCCAAAACTTTTGCAGCTTTTGTGTATGTTGTATGTATATTTTCTGCGGTCATGCCTTGTGGTTTCTTCTCGCTTTCTATATTTATTTATGCAGATTCCTGTTTTTCCATAAAGTTTTGTTTGTTTTTTGTGCAATGAATGCACAACAGGGTTTGTTGCGTAGTTCTGTTTTCACCCAACATTTCTGTGAAGCAATTAAAAAATACTATTTCTTCGTATACGAGAGCATTTTAATTACTGGGGATGTTTTTCTTTGACCCAGCTTTCCCTGACCCACTGTAATTTACACCAGAGACAAGGACCAGTTCATTAAATCCTGGCATTGCTTTAATTAATTTCGCGGTCCTGCAGCTAGTCAGTCGAATTTTGTTGCATGCGTATGATTAAAGATGACGGGATCGTAATCAACGTGTAATCTTTATGGTGAGTGACGCACATCCATGGCCAAATTCACATTCGCAGCCACATTGGGTGCGCCGCATTTAGGGGCAATCAAATCGCCCACCGGAATGCTCCGGTGGAGCATAAATCACACAAAACTATTCCCTATATTCCCGACACTTACACGCATGCTTATCGGGGTTTTGGCGGCTGATTGCCACTGCCATTGCCACTGCCCTTCAATTTTATTCAATAAGTTCCCGTTTATGACTCGGCCACGCTCTCTATATATCTATCTCTATATCTGTGGCCCCTCGAATATTGTAACTAATATCGAACATGGCTTTTAATTGAATTTCACGCGCTCCCCATAAAGTTACAGCGTGTCCAGCTCGCTCAACTTTATGGCTGATGTGTATGCCGGATATAGAGTATATTTATATCTCCGTGTATATAGTATAGCCAGCCCTGCGTCTCCTTTAATTGCTTTCGCTTCTTGTTATGACAATCGTAAAATACGGCTCTGTTATTGCAGTGTTCCTAGTTTATAATAATAACAGTAATAATGGACAGTGACATCAGTACGTATACGTAATGTGGCGAAAGGTTGCTAAATTAATCTAATAATGTTCATTGGGTTTCTGTGTCCCGCCATTCGTTGAAAATGCTAAAGGGCAGAATTCTATTCGCTTTTTAATTACCAACTCATTATTGCTATCCGAAATCGTTATCTGTGTATTTTTGTTGGCCAAAGGAGAAGTCCCCTATCAATATTTAATGACGTATAAATGTGGTTGCGATAAGCAGGTCGTGCAGTTGTTGTCGTTAGCTTTCTTTAACCGGCATTTCCTGAATGATATCTTGATGGCAAAATCTTGGCCTTCATATATATAAATTTGTATCTTATTTTTAATTTTTATTTTTTTATATCTTGGGATTTAAATCCAGATTTAAAATGAACGTTATCCGCATTTACTTATGGTTTTTTATTTAAATACATTTTTTTATGAATGTCAACCATAATTATAATATAATATAATATTTCGCAATTGCATTATTAAAAAGGCTTTCGTAAAGAAACTTCCAGTGAACAGGAAACCACCCAATTTGCTGGCAATTTGGCTCTGATAATTATGTTATCAAATTTCCTGACTATTTTTATTGATTTATGTCTGCCTATGGTTAATTAGTCACTTAGACCATGTGCTTTTTTTCCGTCCATATCGCTGCAAAAATTACTTTTGAGTTGACAGGCCAAAAGAAGTGGGTGTTGTAAATTAAACGATACCCAATACGCCAGGTGATTTTTCTTCGGGCACACTCAAGTGCAAGGCGAACGAGTACAAGTGAGTTGCCAGCTGGCTGACAGAAGACCGGCGCCAAGTGGCATTGGAAATTGTTTTACTACGGGGCCATTTACAAAACAATTACACTTATTTGTGCGCCATTTAACGGCTCGTCCCCCGTCTGACAATCCATCAGCGGCTGCTTCTCCCCATTCCCTGCTCCTCTCAAAGTACGCAACTCAACGGAACCGAAAGTCGGCAGACGCTACTCGACTTCATTTCGTCCTGACAGCCCTGAGGGGAAATGAACTGCGAGGCAAGTTTCTACACTGGGAGAAAAAGCCATTCCCTACATACCTTTTTAAGATATATATATATATTTTTTTTTTGATTCCGTGTTTTAAAACTCTTTGTGAAAAAAGCAATATATTAGAAGAAATATATATATTCTCTAAAATGTAAAAAAATTTTAAGACAAAACCTTTTTGCTTAATGAAAAAATTTGAATTTAAGATTAGGTCTCTATGGTTCGAAAGTCATTTTAACATTTTTTTGCAGTGTGCATATTTCCGTTGCAGAAGAAAAGCATTTGAAGGACTGCTTAGTATGCAGTTCAGCCAGAAGAAGAGCCAGCGACAGCTGAGGAACTGAGCTGCATACCTGCAGTGGCAGGTAAATAAAATTAATCATAGGCCCCGGGCTTCGTTTGCGTTTGTTTTGAAAGAATTGGGTATAATTGAATTATCATCCTTATTGTTGGAAACTTAATATTCTACAGTTTTTTAATTTGCAATTACTTCAAGTACTCAGTACAAGACACCAGGTTTGAACGGTGCAGACGTTTTAGGAATTTTCCGTAAAGACGGTCGTATGAAATATTTTAAAAACCCAGTCTTTAATTTTTCACAACAAATACATGACCACGAGCCGGCAAAGAAAACCATAAATACAATTTCCAGTTATGTTTCTTAGGGAAAATACAGGACCTCGCACCATGTAAGTGTCAATATATTGGCACTTTCAAGAAACAGGCGGCCTCCTTTAATGTTATACCTACTCTAACTTTCTTTGCTATTGCGTTGTGGGTACTCTATAAAAACAAACAAGTAAAAGGGGGAGTGCAAAATTCGATTTTTAATTACATCGATAATGAAAATTGAAATTTTTTATCAGCTCAGTTGTAGGAGTGGCTCTAAACGTTATCTACATTCGATGACGTTTAGTTTGCCTAACCGAGTATTTTTTTTTTGTTTTAATGCGACACCATTCTCGTAACCTATATTTTGGCAAGCCTTTAAATCAGATTAGATTTGCATACAAAAATATATCTCAGTACCCATTACTTAAACAGCCTATTAACTTCAACTAATCATTCAAAAAAAGTATTCTTCTATCATCTGAACCATTTTAGTTTTCAATGTAAAATAATATTGTGGCTTTGTATTTAGTCAAAAGATTCCCCATAAACTACTAAGCTTAAGTATGTTATCTAAATGTCCTCGTAACTTTTGTTTATTTACGGCTTTCAATTGTTATTTAGTCACTTCATCAATTCACTTAATTTCGCCTCGACAGCTAAAAGCCTTCACACATAGGCAAATCTATTTTTTAAGTTATAATGTTATTTTTTTTTAATAAAAAAAATGTTAGATATGAAAAAACAGCAAGTAATTATAAAAGATGAATAAATAAACGAATATTAAATAGTTTTATTCGACCTTTGAGTAAACAAAATTATTTATTTAGTGCGGAAATATTTAAAAATGACCTCCATTGTTCTGCAGCCCAAGAGTTTCAAGAATCAATATATAAAATAGACAATCATTTGTTGTCCTATCTACCCGAAAAAACCTATTAAACCAATTCATGGAAACTGGCTGAGATTGCAAAATTAAAAAAAAATCGGAATGTTCTGCAATTTCCGTTGTATTGCTTTGTTAGGGCTCCCATTTTAGCATTAGTATTAAGAAATGCCGCAATTTGTTCTTACTCACCCAACCTCAAGGTGCTTTTTGTTGGCCAATTTTGGGTTATGCAAACCAGACGGCGGGGGATTGGCGCGATAGCATTGATATCAGAGGATTTTCGCATTAAAAACTCGTATATAATTAGACTTCCAATCATTTCGGCTAGGGCAACAAACGAATGACCTCTAAACGATGGCCGATATGTGCGATGACGATTCACTCCAGATCTAGATTTTCAGTTTGTCGCGGGCTGATTGTTTATAGATTGTCCAAGGAAGTGTATTTAGGTAGGTAGCCCAAGTCCGATGTGTAGGGTGATTGCATTATTGATACTCGCTATCAACATCAAGATATGAGAAAAGCTCCGGCGATCGCTTAGCTTTGGCAGCTCCTGAGTATTTTTGGATGCCATAAAAGCGTTGGCCATTCGCCAGTTAAGACCAAGTTACGAACGAACCGTTGAGCAAGCAACATGCAGTCCCAACTCATCGCCATCCTGCTGGCCTCCGTGGCCATTGGCTCCTGCCTCGCCAATCCCAGCCTCATCTCTGGACCCTCCAGGATGATGGAGATAATGAGGGCCACTAGTGAAAACCAGCGGAATAACCCACAATTGGCGGCGGCCTGCTTCGCCTACTACAACGACGTCTTCAACTCCGACTACGCTACGTACGAGGTGGAGTACAACCAGTGCCATGAAAAGTTCAATGGGGGCCGCGAGGAGGTCCTGGAGCGTTACGATCCTGTCGTCTGGGATCTGAGCAACTCCACCTTCGACTCGTGCATGTACTTGCTGGACTGCGATAACCACAATAACAGTCAGAATGCGCTTAACTGCTATGCCAGTGACGTAAGTTACTTGAGAATATCATGTGTTACAAGAAAAATACTTATCTTGTTTAGCTTCGTAAGTTTAAATATTCCACACACTAATACAACATTTTATATAACTTTATAGGGACCAAAAATGTCTAAGCAGTTGACCAGTGTGGCCTCCAATGCTTCGAACTTCTATGGAGCCCTGGTGCAGGAGGTCGAGCAGCTCAGCTATACACGTGATCTGTGCTGCAACACCACGGCCAGGAACTACGAGATCCGCTCCGGTGACTCGTACGAGGCCTTCCAGAGTTGTCTGGCTGGTCTGACTCCAGTACCCACCATCCCCCCGAGCACCACCACCCTGAGCACCACCACCCCGAGCACCACCACCCCGAGCACCACCACCCCGAGCACCACCACCCCGAGCACCACCACCCCGAGCACCACCGCCTCGAGCACCACCAGCTTGCCAACCACCACAACCACATCCCTACCAGCGGTAGTTGTATCCAATGAGAAAACGACAACCGGCCTACCACCTACCATCTTACCCTCGACCATTTCCCATTTCGGAGCCGATGGAAGCAACAGTGCCAACAGCAAGCACCGATGGGGAAACAAACTGAGCAATATTTTCAAGCATATTGGCTAAGACACGAAAAACTTGTAAATAAAGAGCATTTGTCTAAAAATACATATAAAAGAATTAACTTATTAAATCGTATATAAAGAACAAAATAAATTCATGTTAAGTTAAGCTTAAGCAAGAAATTATGATCATTAATAGATTCCAAATAACATTTTTGATTGCTAAAAATGTACTATCGCTAAGGTATATTTGGCATTTGAAAATAACAGAAAAGTTTTTTTAAGTTTACTGTGCTGAATAATATCAAAGAACCAAATTATACAAGTATACTACGCAGCTTTTAACCAAAAAAAAAATATTTTTTTATTTTACTGTAAAAAATATGACTTTTGGAAAAGTTTTATGCACATAGCTTTAAAACTGAGAGACTCGAATATTTTAACGGAAATGGTCTGAAATTAAAATACCTTCGGGAAAGGGTATACAAATATATATACTAAAAAATTCATAAAAATCAATCCGATTTCAATAGATAAACAGCAAACAAATATAAAAAAAAATATACCCTAAAGTTGTGTTGAATAATTTATGAACATTTAAAAGACCCTAATACCTTCGGGTAAACAAAATTAATTTTACCTTTAACCTGTGTCTGTCCCTTATTAAGTCAATTCCTGTAATTGACAGACTTCGTAAAAATACCAGAAAGTTTGGCAATTTCCATTGTTTTGCTAGGATTCCCCCTTTTACTATTAGTTTTAAGAGGCACGTCAAATTATCACAATTCTTTCTTAATCACCCACCGTCGAGGTACTTTTTGCTGGCCATTTTTAGGTTATCTAAGTCAGATGGCAGGGGATTGGAACTATAACAATGATGTCATCAGATTTTGGCATTAAGAACTTTAATTTAATTCGATTTGCATTCATTTTGGCTAAGGCTGCATTTAAATGATCTATAATCGATGGCCGATGGGCAATGTAGATTTTCACTTTGTCGGCTGATTTTTTAAAAATTGTCCCATGTCCGGTGTGTAGAGTGATTGCTATCACTACTATCAATAACAAGATAAAGTATTTTTGGTTGCCATAAAAGCGTCGGCCATTCGCCGGCTTAGACCAAGTTACGGACGAACCGTTGAGCAAGCAACATGCAGTCCCATCTCATCGCCATTCTGCTGGCCTCCGTGGCCATCGGTTCCTGCCTTGCAAATCCCAGCCTCATCTCTGGTCCTTCGAGAATGATGGAGGTTATGAGTGCCACTAGTGAAAGTCAACGGAATAACCCACAATTGGCGGCGGCCTGCTTCGCCTACTACAACGACGTCTTCAACTCCGACTACGAGGTTTACGAGGTGGAGTACAACCAGTGCCATGATAAGTACAACGGCGGCCGAGAGGAAGCCCTAACGCGGTACGATCCTGTCGTCTGGAAACTGAGCAACTCCACCGCCTACTCCTGCAAATACATGCTCAATATCTGCGATGACCAATATAACAGTCAGATCTCGCTTAACTGCTACGCCAAAGAAGTAAGTTATTAAACAGTTAAATATTTTAGAAGGAAATATACGTAGCGTTGGGCACAACTAATCATTTTTAGTCCATTTTTAAAAGCCCAAAGAACCTTTGAAATTAAAATGAAATGCAATGTAATATTTCAGGGTGTTAGGACGTCCAAAGTGTTGGCTAGTGTAGCCTTTAACGCATCGGAATTCTATGGAGCCCTGTCGCAGGAGATCGAGCAGATCGCTTATACCCGTGAACTCTGCTGCAACACCTCGGCTAGGAACTACGAGATCCGCTCCGATGAGTCCTACGCGTCCTTCCAGAGTTGCCTTTTGGGCCTGACTCCGGTGCCGGATAAGACCACCACCACTTCGAGCACCACCAGCTGGCCAACCACCACAACCAGCACCACCCGCGTGGTCTCTGAAACCACAACCGACCGCTCATCTTCCATCTCACCCTCGACCATTTCCCATTTCGCAGCCAATGAAGGCAACAGTGCCCACAGCAAGCACCGATGGGGCAGCAAACTGTACAATGCTTACAAGCATAATGGTTAAAACGTGAAGAATATTAAAAAAAAAACGAATAAATAAAAGTATAATTAAAAGAAAAAACATTGCAATACCTACCTTTGATCGTGGATAAAAACTATGTAGTAGTTAAGATTTAAGCAAGGTTGATTAATGTTCAATAGAGTATAGATAATATTTTTAAAAGGCAAATTGATTCTTTTTAAGATTTTATTGGCATTTAAATTGTATAGAGGTAAAGAAAGATAACAGAGCTTTTTGATTAACTCAGTTTAACCTATTTAAAAAGTAATCAATTATATATAAACTTGAGGTAGAAAAGTATCTCGTTTTGAAAAGAGTAACACTTTCTTTATTAATAAGTGGACCTACATAACTATATAGTATGGCTTCTTCATTCTATAATGAAGCGAGATTATCGAGGCTTATTTTGAAACTACAAATCTGTAAGCAAGACATTTTGATTTTTATTAAACACTGGGTAATGGCCATAAAAGCTTTAGGCTATTGGGTATAGAATTGGCTGCCTCTTAAAACCAAACAGATGGCATCAAGTGATGGAGTCAATCTGGAAACTCAAACGAGAAACTAAAAGCCATTGCAACTTACTTAATTAACGGCCCGATCTAGAAGGTGGAAAACCAGGAAAACCTGATGGGATGCAAATAAAACTTTTTGCATTTGCCATCAGTCCAAGTTTATCAAAGATCCGCAGGACACGAGGACGGGGAAAGGCGGAGGCTAGGACAAACATGTAAATCAGCCGAGGAAAACTTTACCTTCGGTGGGAAAGGGAGAATCCAGGGGGTGAGGCACTTTAAGGTAGCGGTGGTAACAGTTAAATAAACAGTCGGGTGGCATTTTCCTAGCAGTGTTTTTTATTCAAATTTAATTGCATGTGTTATTATTGTTTGTGCAGTTGCCGGCGGCCTTGTTGTCACTGCAATTAAAACAAATTAAAAGCGTTGAAGCTGTGCAAAGGGGAGATTTCACTCTGCCGAAATCAAGCCAATAACTTGGCAAGTTAGAGTATCCTGCATCCTTGCAACCGGCGCACACACAAAGAACACGCAATTAAGATATGCAAATTAGAAGTTGTCCTTGCTCTGGCAGATCCGGTTTCCTTTGGGGATCTCTGAAAATTATGCAGAGGCATGCGATGAAGACAGCTTTAAACTTGGCCAACTATTCGAGAGGTTTCAATTTATTTGAGGCAACAATAATAGCTCCAGTGAGTCATAATACTTTTTTAAATGTAATTATCATGTAGCTTTTAATTGACCGACAAGGCACTCTGATAAAGTTGTTGTTAGTCATTCAAATTGACAATAATCAATAAGCAATTTGGGAATTTGATAAGACATTGGGAAATCCTAAAGACCTCGGTATTTAATTAGTTATTCCCTTTATAAGACACTCAACCTTAGCATGCCTACTTGTTTATTTTTTGCCAAGTCAAAGGCCTTATCAAAATCCATTTCTGACCAATAACAACCCTCAATGATGATACAATCGCAGTTCTGTTACTTTATAATTCAATAGGCTTTCTGAAATTTCTAGGAATTCAAACTGTAGGACAGACATATAGACTGCACGTGTGTTTCCACAAGAAAAGCACTCCAACTAGATTAGATTAGTCGATAGCTAGTATTCTAGTTGCAATCTCAGCCATTTGCGTTCTTCCTTTCTGCTTTTCTCAAAGGGAAGTTCTTTTTGCCAAATTCAGGCAGTATGTATAAAGATTTCGGGGAAATGTTTACCTCGACGGAGTGCTGATCTAACTGAGTAAAAATTTTTGGGGAGCGGGTTAGTGGAAACCCTTGAGCTGGATTTGACGGGCGGGTCCCGTTGAGTGCCGGTTATAAAATCGATAAGAATGATAACTACACCCCGGTTTCGAGATAGCTCGAGTGATAGGCTAAACCGAGGTAATAACACGGCAATAACATGGCGTTTTTTTATTGGAAACTAAGGCAAGAATTTTTTTTTATGGACCACTCGAGGGCGGCGCCTATAAATACTTCAGCTGACAGGCGGATTGGACAAGTACGAATCGATCGCTGTAACAGTGAAGGTCTAGTAAAAAAGAAATACAATAGAAAATCGAAAAATGCAAGCCAAGTTGTGCCTTGTCCTTTTGGCCATCGGCCTGAGCCAGATTGTGGCCCTGCCATCGCCTTCGCTGCAGATCAACCATCCGAGCACCAACTTCCTGCAGTATTTAATGCAATCCCGGGATCTCGCCAATGGCAATGGCGACCACTCCATCGACTGCCTGGGCTACTATATCCCCCTGATAAACGAGGGCGTGACCGTGTACGAGAACAACTTCAAGGCCTGTCTGGAGCAGGCTGCCCTGGAGATTTCCCAGATCAACGACAGTACCAAGGATGATCGCGATGCCATCGACGCCTCCGCCCTGAGCTCCTGCGATGCCCTCAAGGTCTGCAGTGAAAAGGAAGCCGCCGAGGATTATTTCGAGTGCTACAGCGAAGCCGTAAGTATTGCATAACATAGTCGATAAGGAACACAAACGGACAAATTTAGTATTATATTTTCCTACACTGGTAGGAGTACTTCATCCTTTTTCGCAATGACTTGTGACAATAATTTTTTTTTTAAATACATTTTTTGACTATTCTCATAATGGTTTTTGATATTTAAAAATTTGATTTATATGTTAAACTAAGATAAAATACTTTAAAATCATTTGAAGTCTAATATTTCAACAATATTTCAAATATTTTAATATTAAATCATGCAATTTAATTCTGGATTTAATTGTTCCATTTCTTCATCAGTGTATTTAAATGATTTCATGATATGTATTTTAGATTGCATACTTTTCACTATCTCAATTGTATTGTGATTAATTAATTACAAAATTATCACTTTGACTTTTTTTAAACTACCTTGCTGGCACGAGCATATAAATACAAAAGTGTATAAGATTATCTATAAAAGGTCATTAATGTTAGTATTTAAATTATTTACGATGTATATTTTAAACATAACATTTTGTCAATATCATTTGTCTTATGATTAACAGTCTAGTTTTATCAATTTGTTTTTTTTTAACTATCATGCTGATACGAGTGTATAAGTACAAAAGTTTGTAAGATTAGCTGCCAATCAAGTATTACACAAAATATTTTAGAACTATTAGGATCATACGTTTTTTATATTTTTTACTCAATAATCTAAATTTTCTTTTGATTTTTTGTTGTATAGGGCTCCGACAGCACCAAGACCATGTTCGCCATTTCTGCAAATGCCTCTGAACTTCTGGCCTTCGTGAAAGAGGAAGTCCGTCTCATCCAGGTGAACGAGTACGTGTGCACCAACAAGACCCAGAGGGTCTACGCCGAGAACTCTGCCAAACTCTACGAGGAATTGACCCTCTGCATTGGTGGTGCTCCCATTCCGTCGGAAGTCACGAGCACTGAACCCACAACCACGCAGTCCTCGACTGATTCCACATCTGTCGATCCAGAATCTTCGACTGATTCCTCCCCAGCTGTACCAGAATCCTCGACAGATTCCTCAACTGAGTCAGAATCCTCGACTGATTCAACCTCAGCTGCTTCAGAAACCTCGACTGATTCCACAACCACCGAGCCAGAATCCTCAACAAATTCCGAAGGTGACAAGGAAGCAGCTCCCGAGGAGGACTTGAAATCGCTGTCCAGTCATAACAACAAGGACATCCAGAATATTCTGAAGAACCTGCAGAACTGGTTCAAGTCCCACTAAGCTAGCGAGGTCTTTAATCCTATAAATATAAACGAAGCAAACTAAATAAATATACGTATCTTATTTATTTTTTTTGAAAACTATAAAAAGAATATGTATATAAGTTGGGGTAAAAATGCTATCAGATTACTCAGTAATCAAAGATCGCACGGACAAAGGTTTATTAAAATTTAACACACGTTTTCTGTTTTCGTTCTTAGGGGACAATAAATAATAAACTTGAAAAAAAAAACCGTGTGATTCATTGCATAACCGACTAGAGATAGACGTTGTTATCAAGTAAAAACTACAAAGTACAGTGTTAACCACCGCTTGACCAACATTAGCCAAATCAATTAAAACCAGTCAGCCGATAAGCTAGCAACTATATTGGCCATTGCCAATGCTAGATAACACGGCTATTTATGGGGTGTTGGGTCAGAAAAAAACTTATTAAAAATGAAATCGGAAGAAATCTCGGCGCCGATTTCGAGAACCAGATAAAAAGTCAATTAGCTTTTAATCAGCATGATTTAATGATTTCTCAATGACATTTTAGACAGTCGAAATTTTTGATATAGCCCGGCTATAAAATAATGAACCGATGACCAGTGGCTTTCAGTACGAAAACGAGATCCGTTAAATTCGGTTAAAATAATAATGAAGTTCGCTATTGCCCTGTGCCTGCTGTTGGCCACCAGTGGCTTTGCCCTGGTGCCCAAGCATTCCGGCGACTTGATTTCCATGCTGACCCGCCAGCAGTTCGCCGTGCGCACTTTAATGGCCGCTCCCGAAGCTCGGGACGAATCCACCCTGATCTCCGACTGCTTCAACCACTATCTGGAGGAGCAGACCAATGTGATCATGGGCTACAACCAGCAGTACACCGGATGCCTGAGGACCGCCCAGATGGGCCGGGATGAGCTCACCAACGAGAGTGCCTCGGAGCGAGAGGCCCTCCTGGATCGCACCAACTCCATGTGCTCCAGCCTGACGAAGTGCGACGAACTCGTGGATGGCCTGAAGTTCTTCGACTGCTACCGCAATGCCGTACGTATGCTCTATTCTTACTTTGTCATGAAACAGGAATCCTAAAGCCACTAATGATTATAATGGGAAGTTCTTAAAAACTGTTTCCCGAAATAGATTGAAAGGAAGAGCACACTTTGCATTAATCTTTATAATGCTTTTAAAGATAGTCAGCAATGGTAATAATAGGAAGTTCTTGTTCTAAAAATATAATTAAAGGAAGAGCATGCCTTGTATTAATCTTTATAATGGTTTTAAAGATAATCACCATTGGTTATAATACTCAATATATACCTCATACTCAAATATATCTCATAACAAGATTGGGAGCAAGGAAATACTTTGAAACAATTCTTATTATGGCTTCGGCTGACTCTAAAAGTTACTGTTCCTAGCACATATGAATATATATATTTTATGCCTTGATTAGACTTTAATCGGTCAACATGCGTACGACATGCGTCACTAATCAATATTTTCCTTCAGCATGTGCAGAATTTTAAGCCGTTTATGTGATCAGTTATGAACTTAACTATTACCAATAAATCGTTAGATAATGGAAAAGCTATTACTAACTGAAATCATAGGTGGAAGAATGGGAATTTATAGATAGCTACAAACAATTTTCTTTAACACCTTGTTTTCTTTTAGTCCTCTGACAGCTACAAGGTGATGTTTACCCTGAACAGTGATTCCAGCCTGGATTTCAACCGCATCAGCGCCAAATACAGCGTGATCGAGACCGATCTTACCGCCTGTGTGGATATGGCTCGCGTTGATTATGCCCACGACATGGACAGCTGTGATGAGAGTCTAACTGTCTGCCTGAACGGAGGCGAGTCTCCGAGCACAGCTGCACCCACCACCGCTGCTCCCACTACCGCTGCTCCCACCACCGCTGCTCCCACCACTGCCGCTCCAACTACAGCTGCTCCCACCACAGCTGCTCCCACCACTGCTGCTCCCACCACAGCTGATCCCACCACAGCTGCTCCCACCACAGCTGATCCCACCACAGCTGCTCCCACCACAGCTGCTCCCACCACAGCTGCTCCCACCACAGCTGCTCCCACCACAGCTGCTCCCACCACAGCTGCTCCCACCACTGCTGCTCCTACCACAGCTGCTCCCACAACGGATGCTCCCACCACAGCTGCTCCCACCACAGCTGCTCCCACCACAGCTGCTCCCACCACAGCTGCTCCCACCACAGATGATCCCACCACAGCTGCTCCCACCACAGCTGCTCCCACCACAGCTGGTCCCACCACAGCTGCTCCCACAACGGATGCTCCCACCACAGCAGCTCCCACCACAGCTGCTCCCACCACAGCTGCCCCCACCACAGCTGCTCCCACCACCGCTGCTCCTACCACAGCTGCTCCCACCACAGCTGCACCCACCACTGCAGCTCCCACCACTGCTGCTCCTACTACCGTTGCTCCCACCACCGAGCGGCCACCAGAGGAAGACATCAACAGATCTATTCCCTTGTCCCGGAGTGGAGTTTTGAACCTAATGAAGCGCTTCTTCTAATCGTAAAAGCTTATAAATTATTTATTGCATTCACTTGAAGATTTTAAGTGCCGTAAAAGTCACAATAAAAGCGGTTGCGTAAATAACGTAGAATACTTTTGGGTGCTATTGAAAGTGTTTTGCTTAGGTAAAAGCGATGGCGTACCCAGAAATAACAAAGGGGGTTTCAATTATAATTTAAAAAAATCTAAAAATAAAATATATATATATATATTGTTATTAAATTTCGGTTTTTGATTATTTTTTCTAGTATATTAGATGTACAAAGGCTTTAACTCGACTTAACCCCTTATGGAAACGTCAATGGCAGTACTTATCACTGATAACTGGCAGAGTAATGACTTATCTCGCCTGTCTCGGCCAAACAAGCGCCACACCATTCGGCTACCGATGTTTCGTACTGCCCATTTTGCAGATCGGATCAGAGGGCTTCGAACCGGAGAACGACTCTTGCAATCATTGTGCACGACACTATATAAGTGGAACACCTGAACTTGTCGTAAATAGCTGGCCTTCGGGGCTGGTCAATAAAACCGAATGCGGTACGAGTACGAGTTATTAGGAAATGATCAATTAGCCGCACTCGGCACTCGATCAGAGTCGTTGGTTCTTCAGCGGCAGTCAAGATCGACGCCCAAATGGAAACACTACGCAAAGTCGCGAGGACGGAGACCAGCTGTCGCCTCTGCTGGGTGCTATACATATTTGTGATTTCCCTTTATTGGGGTTACTCGGAGGGTTCTATTGGAGGCTTCGATTGGCCCACTCCCGAACCCGATATTGGAATAGACGAGTGCCATGACGAGTTCACCATAGCCTGTGCCAATGCCTCGCTGGTCTACTCCGATTCCTATGACCTATGTGAGTTGAATGCCAACGAGAGCATCACACATCTTGAGGTGGATGTGGAGCTGGAGCGACTACAAATCGAGTTGGCCTCCAGTGCGGTGTGCGGAAATATGCGGATCTGCGACACATTGACTGACGATCTGGATTATTTCAAGTGCATCAATGAGAACGTGAGTTATCTTGACCATAAATCAATAAAAAATCAAAAGTCTGAGGAGATTAGAAAACATTTTTTGCGATGAAAAAGGTCTGGACTCAAATTTAAATGGAAAAATTCTAATAAAAAGCTAGTCAGTCTTCATTATAAGAACAATTGCATTTATTTTTAATCGCGGAAATCATTGGAACATATATTAAAATCAATTTTAAAATATTAAATCAATGTATATTATGTTTCATTAACTGAAAAAGAATTAAATTAAATAAATAACTCAACATTAATTGGTATCTTATATGTATCCCCAGGGAACTCGAAATCTGGACATCTTAACGGAAATAAGTTATAATGCCACAAGTGCGTATACACGGCTGCATGAAGACTACGATGCTGTGCAAAGGACTTTTTGCTCTGCAGTCTAGATGCCCAGAAAAACTACATGGACGATCTAAGGAATGCTCACAGGGAACTCACCCAGTGCCGATCGGAAATCGATGAACTTAGCGAGTAATATCGCTTATCTGTTACTATGTAAACAGAAGGTTTAAGGGTGAATAAACACCATTTTATAAAGGCAATTTACTCACGACAATTTTTTAAGAATTTATATTAATTTCCTGTAAGATAACTTTCATTAACTTAAGAGGTACTTTTCAACGGGTTTAACGCAAAATATGTTTTGACTTTTAAAATTAGTACATATTATACAAAACAGTATTGTTTAGTTTTGAAATTTAATTTAGTATGTTATTATAAAAAAAAAGTAATATCTAAAAAGACTTTCAATATTAAATACAAAATATCTCATCGCTATACATATTGAATTTAAAATTGGCAAAATATTGTTTTATAATAACAATATGTACTAAACAAAAGTGTATAATCTAAATTCTAAGTTTTCGGATTTCAAAAATATAGGATGTAAGTCAAACATCTAATTAAAGAATTATTAAAGAACAGACCTTAAAATCGAAAGATATATTTATAATAGTTATAGTTATGTTCAAATTGCTTTTAACAAAAAATTATTGTTATGTACATTAATTTGTGGCATTCACTTGAAGACATTGATCTAATGATCGAAAGACTTTATCGGTTCCTTGGACATAATCACGTTCAGTTTGATTTGTGCACAGATAGTGCTCCATTTCGATGCTACCGAATTTCTGGTTAAGGATCAGCGCCTGTTCGGAAGCATTGAACGAAATATTGTAGACATTGGTGAGCTGGAGCTTGGACTATGGGAGTATTTCGGTTCTTAAATATGTTTTTTGATTGGTAAGATTACTTACCATTTTGGCAAAGCAATGGAAAAAATCCAGGGGCTCCGTCAAGGTCAAACACTGATCAATAAAGGAACTCATGCTCAAGGCAGCTTCTCTAATATTTTCTTGAGCCACTGAGGCATCTGTTAGCAATGACTGTCGCTCATTGGTGGCACTTATTTGGCAGCCACTATATCCTTTCGACCAAGTAGCTCCCTGACTTTCCAATTCTGGTAGATAGCGGGCAAAACATTTCTTTGTGTTGCCAAGATTTGATAACGTTTCCTTTCCTTCGTCTAAGTAAGAAAACAAGCTGTCCAAAGCTCGCGGCTCCTTAGCTAAGACCTAAAAACATCTTTTTTAACTAATTTATTAGTTTTAAAAGTCGCATTTTTACCCCAATGGCCAAAAGCAGCGTTATAACAACAGTTTTCATGACGCGGACCGCAGACGACTGACCAAAATTGAAGCAAAATTTCCGCGTAAAGTATCCGAAAAAATGGTAATGTAATCTGACAGTGATGTATGGTTTGTTTATTGGCTTGCTTATCGCTGTGGTACGTCTGCAAATTACCATTCAGTGGCATCCAAACTTTGCACTTGATTATCAAGGAAATACGTTGCATACTTTTGGCCAAAAGGAGAAGATATCTACCGAAACTTTGCCTCCGCAATTAATTACGTCATATGATAAATATAAATGGGGACTTATCGCATAGATATAGGGTTTTATTAACCAATCGTTACAGCAATCGATTCGAATTGGGTCGAAAGCCCTTAAGCCAACGAACTCACTATGGCAAGTTCAAAGAACCGCGAATAAGGCCTTCCGGTGGTTCCTGGCCATCTAGTCTTGGTTATCAGCTTTTGACCCTGAATACACGTGTTTGGCATCGAATGGGAATGCACATGCAAAGCAATTTGTTGGTCTGGCATTACGCATTCGCCCTAATGCTACCTAATTGATCGACGCTGGGTAGCAGCAAAATATTCACAAAAATATCATTTGGGCCAAACGGATCAATCATTCGCCCCGCCGGCCACGTATATAAAGCATTTGGCTCTGTTCTTGGCCAGCGACAGTTAATATCCAACCGCCAACGAAACGACCGCACGAAAATGAAATTCCTTTGCAGTATACTAATCCTCGCCAGCGTTCTGGCGGTTAACGTAAGGATTAACTGATATTCGCCTGGTTTCCGGTAGTAAACATTTCCGTTTTCGTTTCCGCCTTCCAGGCCAAGCCCAATGTGCAGTTGCAGCTGCAGAGCGCCTTGGACCAGTATCTGGTGCATGCCCGCAATCTGGATGCCACCGTTTCCGCGGATGTGACCACCCAGTGCTTCAACTTATATCTGCCCATGCTGAACGAGGTGGCCGCCACTTTCTCGAGTTCCTACCAAGGATGCATAAGCACCGCCAACGCCGAGACCGCCAATCTGACCGCCCAGGCCGATCAGCAGCAGAAGATCTACCAGTCGGAGGTCTCCAGCCTTTGCAATGCCTTCGCCTCTTGCGACAGCGACAACGACACCACCACCTTCTTCAACTGCTACGCCAGTGCGGTGAGTTGAAGCTTACTATGAGTTAATAATTTATTGATCAAAGAGAAAATAACTGACTTAACTGAATTTTAGTTTGAGAATGTTATGTCATGTTCTAGTTGTTTTATTTTTAAAATTTTTTTTTATTTTTTGTTTTTTACTAGTAATATATCTAAGATAAGAGTACCTATTTATGAATTGACTTAACAATAAATATTTTATTGGATTAACTATTATAAATTTATATGTTTTTCTCACAGGCCAACAGTGATGTTTCTGTGTTCTACGACATTGCCACCAACGCCGCCAGTTCGGCCAGCTCCTTGAGCATGGGCATTCAGGCCATCCAGGCCACCGAGTACCAGTGCACCAACACCACGGAGAGCAACTACGTCCGGTATACGGCTGCCACCTACGATCTGCTGGACAGCTGCCTCAAGTACGGCGTGCCCACCACCTCCTCCGCCGCCCCCTCGTCATCCAGCCCCTTTGCTAGCTCGAGCGGGGCTGCTGTCACTGATGGCACCACTACTGCTGCACCGTCCTCCGTCGCTGGAGACGACACCACTGTGGCTGTGACCACCGCTGCTCCGGCCACCAGCGCCGCCCCTGCCACTCCGGCATCTTCTTAGGCCACCAATTCAAGCAATTGCAAGCAATAAATGAGCATTTGAAAAACATTGATTCGTTGGTTCTTAAAGGGTTTCAGGAAAGTCACAGGATTGCGTATAGACATTTTTTGTATTTTACTTTCACCTTACTTTTAGACATACAGTGGGTTTATTCATTTTTATAATTGGCAGCCACTAATGTTTTTTAACAATTATAATAAATTACGCTGCAAAGTGTATTTTTTTAGTAATTTTAGGTCTTAAAAAATGTTATATAAACCCATGTTGTTTTTAAAATAACAAGGCATTTTTGTTAGTTTATGCTATTCAGTTTTTGACATTGGTCATAGCTAGATATAGTTTCTAATTTACTTTTCCTTCATTTTATGAATTAATATAATGAATTGAGCTGCGTATAAACTTTGCAAAAAATACATTAATAAAAATTAAAAGCTTTGCATACTTTTGGTCAAAAGTGAAAGCTTTTCAAATTAAAAGGTGCCTTTGCAATTAACATTTAAATAAAGTACAATGACTTGAAGGATTTCCGTTTAAGCAAGGGGCTTTGTTACCCAATTGGAACAGCAATCGATTTAATCGGGACCGAAAGCCCTTAAGCCGCTAAATAACCCTTGACAAGTTAAAAAAACGCTTTTTTTTCTTTGTTATTGGTTGTCGGCTATCTTATATTGTTATCCATATTAGAACCTGACTCATAGAATGAAAATGTCTAGTCATACGTCTAGTAATAATGCTACCTAATTGATCGCCATTCAAGGGTAGTAGTAGTAGAAAAATCACACAACTTTCAAGTTGGCCCAAACGGATCAATCATGTTCCCCGCCAGACGAGTATATAAAACATTTAGACGCGGTCTTTGCTGGAGACAGTAATAGTATAACCGCCGACATGAAGCTCCTGTGCAGTGTGCTAATCCTGGCCAGCGTTATGGCCATTAAAGTATAGTTATATTGATACTTGACCTAAGTTCCGCCATTAACGTTTCCTATTTCGGTTTTAAGGCCACGCCGAATGTTCAGATTCAGAGCGCTTTGAATAATTATCTGGTGCATGCCCGCGACATGGATGCCATTGTTTCCGAGGATGTGACCACCCAGTGCTTCAACCTCTATTTGCCCATGCTGAACGAGGTGGCCGCCACTTTCTCGAGTTCCTATCAAGGATGTATAAGCACTGCTAATGCGCAGACCGCCAATTTGACAGCCCAGGCCGATCAGCAGCAGAAGATCTACCAGTCGGAGGTCTCCAGTCTTTGCAGTGCCTTCACCGCCTGTGACAGTAACAACGACACCACCAGTTTCTTCAACTGCTACGCCAGTGCGGTAAGCTAACTGCCGGTTAAATATTTAATATATTCAATAAACATTTCTTAATATAATTTCCAATTTTACATAAACATAGGCTGAGGGTGATGTGTCCGTGATGTACGACATTTCCAGCCAGGCTGCCAATTCGGCGAGCTCTTTGACCATGGGCATCCAGGCCATTCAGGACACCCAGTACCAGTGTACCAACGCCACGGAGAACAAGTACGTCCGGGATACGGCTTCCACATACGATCTGCTGGACAGCTGCCTCAAGTACGGAGTTCCCACCAGCACCACTGCTCCAACAACGCCAACACCCACTTCTGCCCCACTAACCTCCACCTCAGATGGGCCTTTTTATTTTGATCTTTAAAAGTGGGAAACTAAATGCTTTTAATAAACGATAAAAATTAAACTGATATAACATAGTTTTCATTGCTTAAAATAATAGTACTGTAATTATCAAATTTTATTGTGAAACTGTTTTAAAACATTAAACTGTGTGCTGAATATAATTAAAAATATAGTTTTAATTAAATCATTTTTGTCAAAGTGTGCTGACTGCACATAACATTTTAAATAAAGCAATCATGGGGTTGTGTGAAGTAAAATGTTCGATAAAATATTTTTCCTTGGTTGCGGCTAACAAAATTGTTATTTAAAGCTAACTGAACATTTTATTTTAAATATACTGAAGCAGATTTTAAGCCCAAAAGTAATATACCTTTGTTGAAATTTTAAAAACAATCCACTCGGACAGATTTATCCGTGCTGCTCAGTTGGGCCAAGTAACATTAGAAAAACCCTTTAAAATTTTTGCTTTTAGATCTTTTGGTTTTAATAATAAGTAATTAAAACTTATAACATTTTTCTTCAAAATAGATTTGTTAAAAAGCATTGACATATTTATCTGTAGATAAATTCAAAAAAACAAAATCAAAAATAAATGTAATTATTTAAATGACATTGACATATTTGTTTTTAAGGCAAACAAAAACTTTAAAGTAAATAAGATAAACAAAATCAATCAACATTTTAGTATTGGTAAAGCTTCAAAATAAAGTTTCAAAATGTCTAAAAGTCCAAATAAATTTAAATGTATTATATTTTATTATTTATTATTATTATTATTATTTTTATATCCAGCTGATTCCCACACTTTTTGTAATATTCTGTTATTTGTGGGCCATCGAAACATTTGTGTAGACTTCTAGAGGAAAAACAGATAGGCATGTGAACGGAACGTTATTAGCTGCTCTCTGAGAACAGACAATCGCCGCTGGCCGAACTTACACCTTTCTCGTAGCGAGCGGGCATAAATATTCAATCCGAGGTGGCCTTATCGGCGATACATTCAATTATCTCTCCGGTTTGCGGCTGTTAGCGCTTAAAAGCGTGCCCACACACACTAAGTTGTAATCAGTCGAATTTTGTTCTCGGACCATTAACCATTTCACATTCCGCCCTCAACATTCAACATGGAAGGCCATCGCGTGGCAGTCGTCGCATTTGCTGTTATTCTCGCCGGATTGTGCGTGCTGTCCGGACTTAACGTAATGAAAATGAAAATCAACAACTGAAATGGGGTTGTGACAATCGAGTAAACATAACCCTCCTCCGTCTACGATTTCTCCCTCAGGCGGCGCCCGTGGAATGCAATAATAGCAGTGGCACTCAGGTCTCCGAAAACGGTTTCCAGTCGCAGACGCAAACCGGACCCGGCTGCCAGTCACAGACCTCCGAGGACGGATCCCAGAGTCAAAGCCAGAGCCAGTCGGGCAATGGTCACCAGTCGCAGTCGCAGTGCAGCGGCTCGTCTTGCGGTCAGTTCAGCCCCCTTCCGCCCCTCTTCACCATGGCGCCCATGGAGCCCATGGAGCCCATGGAGCCCATGAAACCCCTCACCTGGCAGCCTTGGGGCACTTTCGGCTAAGTTCTTAAAGCTATCAATAAAGCTGTCGTTGTGTGCAGATTGCTAATACAAAACAAAGACAAAGTGTTTTTAATATTTTTTAGAAAGAATGTACAAAAAAAAAAATACTCTTTGTTTGTATCTTTCTATATTAGCATATTAAAGTTCAAAAATAAATATTTTGTAAAACAGCCAAAACCGCAAATACAAAAAATAAATTAAAGGAATATAAAATTTAATCAATTTGAGCTGAGTTCCTAAATAGTTATACTAAATAAAATCAACGTACATTTTCTTTTACAAACTTAAATTATATATCTCCAAGTTATTTAATCCTAATTTTATGAATCCCCATATTTGTAGTTTTAGAGATACAGATCATTTAGCACAATTTTGGTGCCAACAAAAAACGAAAGCGATCTTGAATCAAATGACAAGTCTGGTGGCTGTCTGACTTGACTTGATCTCGCAATTCGAGATGACTAATTCATCTTGTTTTGGTATAGTCAGGCAACACTTACATTTTTAGTCATGTTGGGCTGATTAGCAACGCTTTGTTCAAATAACGTGAAAGATTAGTTTACTGATTAGTTCGCTGATCGGGCATAAATTATCTACCAATGAGCAATTGTGATTTAAGCAGTACAAAGATTATCGCATTTATATGAAAAAACAAGCTATCTTCTATCTAAAAACAATAAACTGATATGGAATAAATAACTTTTAGAAATTTCTGATTCACATCTTATCCTTGGGATGAATTTAATTTGGAACTTTTCTGATATTTTGTTTATTTTACTTGTTTAAAGAATGAATGTTACGTTTTGAAGATTTAAAGTTTTAAATGAAATTTATTTATCCAACATTTTTATCCATGATTTTTGACAGTTTCCGCGCAAAACTTAGCTTATCACTTAAATCACTTGGATTGCAGCGCCGGGAAAGCAAAAATAATGATGAATGTTCGCCAAACTCCCGTCTGCGGTTAATGCATTTCTTTTTTGTTTTTCCCCGTCACTTTTGCCGCTGTCGCTGCTGCAGATAAAACTTTTATAATGCGCCCAACTTTGGGGTGCCACCGCTTTTGGCAGGCACTGTGGCACCTTCTTCGCCATTCGCCATTCGGCGTTCAACATTCGACATTCGGCCTGCGGCGACGTGTGCAAGTAATTGTGGCAAAAAACAAAAAGCACAGGAACCACAATAATCAGCGGCTGGCTGGAGGAAATCGTCAAGCGTTGAAGCCGCCGCCAGCTGGCTTTTAACTCATTTTCTGATTAAAATCTGGGCCATTAAGCGTGCCAGCTCGGATCGGACTAAACTTTTTTAATGGCCCTGACAATAGTTGCCGACGTCAGTGACGGCAGGCTCCTCTCTCCTTTTCTGATCCTGCAGTGCGGCCGCAAAAGGGCGCGCGAAAATTGGCGCCTGCAACCAACGACGCTGGTCACGACAGGGCGCAGAATTCGGTGTAAAATTAAATTAAAACTGCCAAGGGAGAACGAGTTGTGGGAATGGCCTTGCACGGAGAGAAATTCACCAGCGCTTTTGGTGCTATTTCACCATATCTTTTCGCCACCTATCAGTGGTATTTTAAAATATCAGATTACATTTTTAACATATCACTCTGATAAGAAGGAACAAATACACTATTATGTACATTGCTGCTATCAGTGGCCTGCCACTTGAGGCTTATTGTTATTAACATTTTAAGCATAGCAACATAAATAATTTACTTGCTCTGATAAGGAAACATTTAAATGATTATAGATACAAAAGTATTCTTCCACTTTAAATAACACAATCACTTTTTGTTCAACTGCTATCAGTGGCTTTTTGAAATATCAGATAAGAAATTTTAAAATACCACTCTGATAAGGCCAAAATAACAGTATTGTTTACATATATACTATCAGTGGCATGGATTTAATGGCTTATATTTATTATCATTTTAAGCCATGGAAACATAAAAGGCATGACCTGGGTTAGGTTCAAATTGATAAGAATTTCTTTATGAAATATCTGCTAGCACTAGCATGGAATTTGGGGCTTAGTGTTATTAGCATTTTAAGCATATCAATATAGTTAATTACCAGCCCTGATATGGTGACAATATGCTGACCTGGGCTAAGTTCTCATATTTTAAAGTGATTTTAATTTATTTATCACATTGAAATAGTAAGGACATTTTCTGGCCATTATTTACACAAATTTTAGAAGTTAAACACACAAATAAAATGATTAACAAAATTACTTGGACAATATTATTTTGTACCTTCTTTGGGTGCAATAAAAAATGTATTTATTAAACAGATTTATTTGTTTACCTTTATTTGTGATTCTTTATTATAGAATTAATAACTTAAATTAGGGAAGATCGAGGACACATATTAATCAGTTTCTGTTCTTTCTGTGTGTGGCTAAAAATCGAGTCGAAAGCTGTGAAAATATTTGCGAGCCTTATACAAGAAGTGGAAGCAGATGGGCGATAGTGGGGCAAACAGCAGGATGAGGACCAGAATCCGAAGGAGAACTCTCTGCGCCAGCTGTCAGCGGCTGCCAGAGCAACGATGTCAATTAGTTTTTGAAGCGATGCTGACCTCCCTGGATGCTGTTTCTCCATCCCCATCCCCATCCCCATCTAGATCTCAACCAGTTCTACTCCTTCCCTCCTTACGCCTCCAACTTGGTCGTCCTTGTCCATTGGCCAAGTCAAGTTGGCTTTAAGTTAATTGCACAAGATTTCACTGTGCTTTCGCAAGGATGCTGCTTTTGCTACTTCTGCTACTTCCGCTTCCTTTCGCCCGTACTGCCATTTTTTAATCAAGTTAAAAGTTATTTTTAAATGGAGTGCGAGCGAAATATGCAAGCGCAATGCAAATATCACAAAGGACCTGCATATGTGGCTGCATCAATTGCAATACTGCAGAAAGAAATATTTATGTACTGATTATTTCATGTGGCATCCGAGGCCAAATTGGTTTTGCCATTCGACTGCCCCCGTCTCATTAATGCATGCATGTTTTAAACTGCTCTCGTCACATTTAATTTGTGAAAAATTCATATGCCAAGCTGGGCATTTTTTTTGCCGTCCAGTGAATTAATTACGTACGAAAATATAGACGGATGAATTTATCTATCAATTCAATTTATAAAATGCAATGGACTGTTCGCTGGACAGTGAGGTCCATTTGCTAAGAAAGTTTTAACAATTTTCTTCAATTTAAATTTTTCCATATTGGCTTTCTGTTACTTAAAGTTGTAGTCCAAAAAATATAAGGCATTAAGCTTAAGCTGGCGAATCTTGTTATAATTATGATGAACCATTAATTATATATTGGATTTTTAATCTCATGGGACTTTATTTGGTTGGTTTCCTAACCTTTTTCTTGTAAAAAACAACGAATAAATATTTTCCTAAATTATCTTACCACTGTGTACAGTACTTGTCAAGGGTATTAACTTGCCGACATTATTAATGTGTTTCCCCATTCGTTATCAACCTCCTTTTCGGTTAAAAAATATTTATGTGCGAGCCATCGTTCTCACCTGCCTATTGTAATTCATTTGTCATTCGGGTTGCCTTTTTTTATTTTTTATAAATTATCTTTGGCAGCAAACCACAAACACCCACACATTGAAAGCGCCGCCGAAGCCGAAGCTATTTTCGGGTGCTTTACAGCTGCAAAAAGCATTTGATTGATGATACAGGTAATTGATAAGGCGTCTCAAGTACCTCAGTTCGCTTGTTCACCTACCCCCAGCTAATTGGCTCCTAAGTAGGTGATGTTTAAAAATATTTTAGCGGAGCATTGCCGTACACTTCCCTTCAAGTCTTTGGCTAATTATGCACTCAAAGCTTAGTCAAGGAGCTCGTTCCGAGATGGTTTGAGCTAATTAGGGCGTCCAACGTTAATTGCAATTTGCAATGGCGCGGGGGAAAGGGAAATTTTCCAAGGGGGAGCCGCTGTGAAAACCCGGTTTCCTGGTTACGAGTTGTCGCTCAAACATCTTCAGCTGTTGCTGCCGTTTTGGCCGCGTTGTCACGTTTTTGGTGGCTGCGATTCTGTATGACTTTATTTCTGGATGCCACAGATGCTGCACTTGCCATGCGATTTGCACTTACGTGTGAACGAGATGGAAAGGGCGGACGAAAAGAGATGGATGCTGATACACTGATAAGAAAATCTATATACTGATTTGAAAATTATTTGTGATGAAAGGTTATTAATTTTTTAAATAAATATAAATAATAATGTATCACATTAATGGCAACTCCTAAGACATTTATCCCAGCTTAGCAACAACTTTAACACTTTTGAATGTTTTTTTCCATGCAGAAATAAAAGCAGACTGCTCCCTTTTGTAACCAAATCTTGTCTGCCACTTCTGTCTGAGCCAGATCCGAAAATTTTCTAATTTTCTACTGCAGTGATTTCGCATGCATAGAGAGTTGCATGTCCCTCTCCCGGATTTTCCCACTTTCCCTGCTTTTCCACTATTTTCCGGCCCTACCCTGAAGCAAGTTCCACTGATTTATGCGCATCAATAAGTTCCCCGAGTGCGATACTTATGCGAAATGTGCCGCAATGAGACGTGGACTCGCCCATGGCACGTTCGCCTGCAGTTGCTGTCCACCATCTCCACACCCATCCTGACCCCCGATTTTCTCAGTTTTTCCAGTTTTCCACCTCCTGCTGACTCTGTTCCAGCTGCTTAAATAATGATTTGCATTTCGATTTGGGGTTCGATTTCGACTCGGATCTGGCTGAGATATATGGGTGGGGAAATCGGGAAGAATGGCGCATCTGGCTTGCAGGCTCTAATGAGAGTACTCTGCACACGGAGAAAATTAAGGATATAAATCGATTATGAATTTTATACTAAATTATAGCTGTGCCTTTATGTGCTCAAAGAAACTGTTGTTTCGCCTAATGACAATAGGGAAAATGTTAGTTATAATTTAAGCAAAACAAAATTATTTCGTTTTTGGATTCCTTTTTGTAAAAACTTAGTGCTTAAAAGAGAGCTATCATGTTGTTAAACCATTTCCATTGTTCAATAGGTGTCAGTTATATTTAAATATTAAATTTTTATATTAATATTAAATTTTCCATTGTGAATTTCTTAGCTTGCTAAATTGTTTTAAAAACAAGTTTGACCTAGCTTATTTGGAAACTTTAATTGGCAATGTGCTGACTCTGGCAAAAATCTTGTATATATTTATGAAAATATTGAATAATTTATGAATAGTATTTAAATAGGAAATCAGGGGTGTCCCCTTTTGTCAGGGTGTAGCCCCAGCCTAAA